ATGAGTACTCATAAGGTTAACATGGGAAACTCCAGAGCCACTGGGGTGGAGCCCGAGAGTCCGATCAGAATAAAAACCACTTAGTTTTCCTATTTAATGCCTAAAGAATCAGTGTACCAAATTTCAGCCTCCTATGTAAGTGGGAAGTGGGAGAATTAGTGATGGAGTCAGTCAGTCAGTGAGGGCTTTGCCTTTTATATATATAGATTACAAATCCTTCCATCTTCAGTTTCTTCACTCACAATAAATCATTAGCAAAACTAAGTCACCTGTTATAAACTTTAGATATGTTGTGCCTTATCAATACAGTCTTTTGAAATATTAAAGAAACTATATAATACTATAAAAATTGTTAACAAATAATTTAGCATTAAAGACAGCAGACAGAACTAATATGATTATCAAAGCATCGAGGACTAAAAAATGTAATAGCAAATCCAGTATATGTTTCATTGCATCTCTGATTCTACTCTACAGAAATATCAGCGAACATAATGTACAAACCAGTTCTTTTAATCAGTTCCATCGTCCGTTGCCTTAAAATTTTCACACTTTACACTTACCATTAAGTAAACATAGTAACAGATATTTTATTGATTTTAGAAACAAAAGAACACTGTGAACTGCTTAGTTTTATGATATTTTCCTTGGTTTAATTTAATCAGTGGTGTGGCAAAACACAAATAATAAATTTATCAAATAAAGTAAATGTGAACTGAAAGCTATGTTAAGATAAAATAAGAGTACTTTGTATTACCATTTGATAATTAAACATAGTTACACATATACAACAGATTTTAGAACACAAAAATCAATGATGTACAATTTAGTTATTGATGATATTCTTTAATCTAATTTAAGCATAGGTTTAGCAAAACACAATAAGTAAATTTACCTAAATATACATATAAAAAACAATGTGATATGCAAGTTATGTTAAGTTAATCTAACACATGTTAAGCAGTTCAAATTTATTTAAAATATCCTCCAAATTCATACAAAACATCTATACATTGTAATTTCACACTGTTTCCATGAAAACATATCAATAACATTATTTTCATAACTTTGACGCTTTAAAAAAATCCAAAGCAGAGCCGGAGTTGATAAAGCAACGGTTATAGAATCTTATTTTTATAATCATTGACAGTTTTAGAATAAATAATCCATGATAAAACGTTAGATTAAAACAAACCTACCTCATAGTTATGGAAAATATTATATTTAACCTCTTGGTATCAGCTGTTTGAAATTGTGAAATATACAATTTAGCAGTTCTTCTTGTTTACATTGAAATGTCAAAGCAAATGTAAGCAAACATTATTAGTGTTCTAATCGCAGCCATGGAGACCAATCAATATTTACTTTTAAAATCCTCATCTCAGAACTTTTAAAGCCAAAGCGACAAAGCCTACGGTCAGTATCGAAATGTGAATAGTCCTATAATGGTAATTGGTATGGTAGTTATTTTTTTGTAAAATTTAATCCTAGTTGGTTCAGTAGTTTTTGCACCTATTATTAACACACATACAGACAGACACCATTAGATTATTATATAATAGTATAGATTGAACAATAAGTAAATGCTATGTAATACAACAAATTAACTTTTGAGCATTAAAAATAGCTGTTAAGCACTGTCAACAACAAATTTTTCGATAAAACACTTTACAAAAATCTGAAGGGCAGGTCCAGAATTGATGGCCTCTTAAGTCTGTAAATTGTATCCTCGTTGCTTAATAAGTTTAATGCTAAATGATTTTGATGAGATTCCAATTTTTGTAATATATCGTTCACGTAAGGTCATGATTTCGTCCTTAACTGTAGGCATCTTAAGGTCTTGATGTAGTGTTCTATTGGTGACATACCAAGGTGCATTTGTTATCTTCCTCAGCGTTGTCGATTGGTATCTTTGGATAATTTATATATTAGAAGTACTCGCCGAGCCCCATAGTTGCACTCCATATGTCCATATAGGTTTCAATATAGTTTTATCATAGACATATAGAATAAATATAGACCGTCAGCTGTGCTGCGGTTAGCAGAAATTTTGGCGTCCACCGCTAGGTTTGCTGTGTAGTTACTGTGCACACCGCTGCAGCGTCTGCTGGTCGCATACGGCTCCTGCGCTCCCCGCCTGCAGCGGTGTGCGCCGTAACTACACGGCAAACCCTGGCGGTGGGCGCCGGAACCTTTCTTTGACAATCTATATTTATTCTATTTGTCTATGGCTTTATACAGTAATAATTTATTTTCTAGACTAAGTTTTGATTTTCTTCCGATGAGCCAATTTAACTGATTAGATTTTAAATAAGGTAATCAATTAAAAGAATAACAAACAAATAAGTAGCCTACAGCTGGGGTATTTTTAATATTAGGTGTATGGAAAGTTCCCTTTAGAAAGAAATTACGACCTTAAAGGGCAATTTATGAAATAATGGATAGTTTTGCGCAAGGTTTCTCGTTAGGACGAACATTTTAAGTACCTATATGGTTTATGGGGGTGTGACTTGTAGTTTTCTCAAAAGTTCATGGGTACTATGGGATTTATATATGGACTAGCTGCTGTACCCGTGCTTTGCAACGGGAAGAGGACACAAAATAGAAACATTTTGATCTTTACATTTGTTGTATAAAAAAGTTACACATTATTTAACCCTTTTAGAAACAAAATTTGTCTGCACTTTAGTATCCATTGATATAAATAAAAAATAAAATATTCTATAATGAAGTTTTATATTAAATTTAATAGTACTGCACCCTGTTGGTAAACCTTATAACTTAATGCTATTTAATATCATAGAACCAACTTAAATCGCTGACAAAATGCTTTTATTCCTTTTAAATATGAATACTCATAAGGTTAACATGGGAAACTCCAGAGTCACTGGGGCGGATCCCGAAAGGACTTTTGAGATAAGATTGCGTCTATATCTTAATCGGGATTGTGAGCTATCATCACACCAAATTTTAGCCCAATCCGACCAGTATTTTTTGTAGTTACTTGTCACAAACATACATAGCCTACATCCATACATCCAAACTTTCTCATTTATAATATTAGTAGGATTATTGTTTTAAGTAAATAAGCGAACAGTTGATTTTGCGGCCCTAGGGATGTAAAAACCTGCTTGGTCCCCAAAATGATGAAGACAGCTGGCATGGCCAGCAAAAAGTAACTTTCAACCACGAATTAAGTTAACGTATGTAAAACAGCTAGAAACATCATAGTGTGGTGAAAATATTAGTAAAACAAAGGCTAATGCCATATACAACTAACTATTATTTAAGCTTTCATTGAAATCAATGATTTTTATGATTATCTATATTATTTATTAATATTTTTACTTCAAAATATTTCAAAAACCTCTACATAATGTGGACTCCCTGCAAATGTAGTAAAGTATTGTCTAATATTCACAGCCAGTAATATAGCTCATACTGGCAGGGGTTTCCCTTCAAGCGTGAAACAAGTGATTTAATTTGGACTTGGGACCGATTACCGATTCATTTTTAAACAAATTTTGCTACGGGGCAGGTGTTTTATTTTGAAAAGAAACAGAAAATAATGTGTTTTGTTAGAAATTCATATTAATTAAATTTTAATACGCATACTAGCTCAGTTAAAATATTTATAAATAAAGAGGTCACAATAATTATCAACATGTCTCATAAAGTTTTTACAAAAGAAACATTTTATTGCAGAAACCTTATACTAGTGATTCTTTTTAATGTCTAAAATTACCCAATAGATTAAATTTTGAACTGAGAAATACATATTACTCTGAGCAGTACACACTGGATTTAGCACACCCAAAGTGCTAGTGGGTCTGTCAACCTGAAGGGGTAATCAACAACGTATATAGGATCAAAGCTGTTCCTACAGATATAGTAGACTCCTGATCAGTGATTATCCACAAGTGGTTTAACCACACTGCAGATTACCACGATAGCAAAAAAAAAGAAGAATTATGTAAGTTAACCCATTTGCATCGAATGCTGTACCGTATCGACGTAAAGTCCGTGATGTACAGTGTCACGGACCACGGCTAATGTACTGGCACGTCTTGGCAACACACCATTGGTTAAATACATAATTGGTTTTAAATATAGGCTAAGGCACGATTACTAGAAAAATACCGGTATGGATCATAAACATAAACAAATGGACGTTGTTGGCCCGAATCCTATACTAATAGCATTGAACATATGTTTTGGCAGTTCCATTTAAGCAATGTTAAATAATGTTTATTTCGGGCCAAAAACGTCACTTTGTTTATATTTATGATCCATACCGGTATTTTTCTAGTAATCGTGGGCTAAGGCTAATATTTAAATTTGTTCAACAAAATATTATTCCAATGATTTGATAATTACAAGTATGAGAAATAGTGTAAACATATCCTAAATACATATAAATATACATATAAAATAATATATTTCTTTTTAATGTTTCAGTGATACTGGGATTTGGTAAATAAATAAGACGATGCAAATGGGTTGAATGTACCTTATACAGCAACGATCAATATGTTTGTTTAGAATAAAGAAACTATCTCATCTCCCAGTCAGATGTTGCTGTTGTTAACATCACTGACCACACTGATGAGTCACCGATTAAACCAACGATTTGATCAATTACATTTTGTGAGTTTTAATTTTTATTTTTACTAGGCCCATACATAGGCTCTTCAATCTTATTTGTTTTGTAAATACACATGTATCATAATGTTGTTTTCCAGGCATTTTAGGCTAGTGATGCACTCAGCCACTCATTATCAAGGATAATCGGGAGTCAACTGTAGCCTATATTTACGTTTCAAGCAAGACAGTTGTTTCACCACTTTTTCAGACAGTTCACTCTCTCTATCCTGGACTGAAAATCCAGCTGATACAGCTTCAGGATATCATAAGCATGTTTTTTTACATTTTTGGAAATTTAAAAATATTTAAGGATTGTGCTTTCTCTAAAAATGTTAATTATAGTGTTCTATTTATAGAGGTAGCTGCAGAACCTCCAACTGTGGAAATTCAAACTCCAACTCAGAGTACAATCCAAACAGTGGTGGAAACATTCCTCCCAACACAAACAATAGTAGTAATAACTACAATCCCCAACCAGGATACAGTCAAAACGGTGGTAAATACTCTCCACCCAAAAATAACAATGATGAAAACTATGGTACATCCCTTGAAAATGAGAATTTTTATCAAGGTTACAATCAATCTCAAAGTAAAAACAGCTCTCAAAATACTAAACATCCCACTAACTCGCACAGTAATGGTGATGGCTATAACATTTCCCCTGGAAATCACAATAATGACCTGAGCACTCCATCCTCTAACAATGATTACAACAATGGTGGTTCCAAACCTCCCATGGTAGGACAAAGTGAAAGCACTTCCTCCAAATACAATAGTTCAAATGCCAAGCACTGTGAGTGTGTTCCATTTTTCTTGTGCGGTGACAATGACACTATGGCTGAAGACGGAGTGGGACTGCTGGATTTAAGGTAATTTGGAGATATAAACTTTAACATTGACTAACAATAGATCATATAACATACATATTAAGAAGAGTAAAAGGTAGGGACTAAAATTAAAAGGAATCTAGAACCCATACTGTAGACAGTGGAATTAGCAAGTGTTCGTTAAAGCTACCTACTTATTTTTTAGTAAGGTCTTTCTTTAAAAATAAAAATTTACGCTGTGTAACATTGAAAACTGCAATTTGTATGAGATTTTAGCATTTAGAAAAAAGGGAAATTTGTATATACATTTGCTATGAATGTGTAGAAAATATATTCTCAAAAAAGGAAAAGGATATTCTGTAGGCCTATTTCAAATAAAATTGGTTGCATCTTTTAGAACCAAAGACGAGTGTGGTGCATATGACCAAAAGTGCTGTCCAAAGATGTATATCAGGCCGTCAGGGGTACCAAGTCCTAGCAAAGTTCCAGCCAAAAAATGTGGAACCCGGTACACGGATGGGGTAGGAGTCCGCATCACTGGAGCTGAGGACAATGAATCTCAGTACGGAGAGTTTCCATGGATGGTGGCTGTGGTACAGCCTCACCCTACTCGTGTACAAGATGGCAAACCTGTCAACATTTACCAGTGTGGAGGATCTCTCATTCACCCTCAAGTGGTTCTCACCGGAGCACATTGTGTCAGAGGGTGAGTTACATCACATCCCAGCAGAATATACTTGTGTCACATATATTTTATCTCATCCTATACATTTTGTTTAGGAACACGTATGTAATGCATGTATTTATGATGGGGAAAATGAGTAATATAGGCCCATTTATCAAATAGATTTTTTTGCTATTTATGCCATTGGTATTTTTTTAAGAGAACGGTCCAAACCCTAGTCTTGTAACTATCTAACGTTGATCTTTTGTTAGATATCATCATTAATTGATAGCCAGTGGCGGCGATAGCGGCCCGCGAGCTTGGGGGGCCCGTGAGCCTTGACCGGGATTTTCGGTAAATTTTACCGGCACATGTGCCCACGATAGTGTGACAGGCTCAGCCACACGGGTCCCCTATCATAACAATATTTTTATGAGAATTAAAATAGGCTACGTTTTTTGAACGCACTAAAAATGTTACTAAGGGCCTCAGGCCAGATCGGTTCAAAATCGGGTTGTTTTGGAAACGGTTGATTTTTATAATAGGCCAATATTGTCAAATTTCGAGCCGAGCAGAGCCTGGATTACAAGCTTGAGAGATCAAGCACAAAGTCAGAAAATCAAGCTCGAGCCGATTTTCTCAGTATTCAATACAATAATGCACAATTAAAAGTAAAAGCTTTTATATCCGTGAGGATCACGCTCACAAAATTGAAAGATTAGGCCTACGCTTTTGCCGATATACGAGAACATTTCCCCGTGGGTGACAATGACGATGTCTCCGCGGCCGCAGATGTTCAATATTTTACCGCGATTGCGGAAGACGATAATGACGTTTCTTTTTTTAGCGAGAGATATATCTAGGATTTAGCCGCGATTACGGAAAAATTATTTACCTGCCACCACCGACGGGTCGCGGGGAGATATTAGGCCGTGATATTAGATTGAGCCGTGAACGCGGGAGACGATGATGCCGCTATCTAATGATGTCATAGGTTTGGTTGCATTTGCAATCACGGTAAACTATGATAATGTTTCTTCCATGACTTATGACTACGGGATGTATTTACGGTTTTTACGGTTTTTCCGCGATCATGGAAGACGATAATGACGCCTCTCGGGAGATGCCTTGTCAAGTCTATTCCAAAATTGCAAGTTTAGGCGGTAATACATGGGAAAATGTTTTTAAAGATAATTGGGTGAGGGGGGCCTGGCGAACAAACTTGCGGGGGGGCCCGCGGGTTCTTATCGCCGCCACTGTTGATAGCCCAATGACATATGACATCTGGGTGTAATCTTGCTTGGAGTAAAACTAGCGACCTTCAGCTTTTAAAGCAAGCTTTACAACCACTCGGCTATCCAGATAATATATTAATCAATCAATAAATAAATAAAAGTTTAAGATTAAACTTTGTTGAGTCGGTGGCTCAGTGGATAGCGCCACGGACTTCAGGCCCAAGGCAGGGATGTTGTGGGTTTAGATCCTGGTACCTGCCACTACTTTTTATCAGTTAAGTTGACCCCTTGTTTTGCTGCATACCTTTTTCAACCACAGGCCTCTGTAGCCCATGAGGACGGGCAAATTCAAGGTAAAAGATGCCACCACCCTCTTAAAAAACCTTTTTTGGGTTTGCAGCAATGAGAACCTGGTGGCCCGAATGGGAGAGTGGGATACTCAGACCATGAATGAACTGTTCCCAACCCAGGACAGACTGGTGCAGGAAGTGATAATACATGAGCAGTTCAACAACAACAGCTTAGCCAATGACCCTGCACTGCTGATCCTTGGCAGTCCCGTAGACATGAACGTTGACAATGTGGGACTTCTATGTCTGCCTCAGCAGAATGAGATCATGGACGGCAGAGACTGTGTTGCCAGCGGCTGGGGCAAAGATAAATTTGGTAAATCTTATACAAACTTGTTTAATTTTAGTTTTCAAAGCTTCAACAGATAATTTATCTTTTAGCGATTCAGAGGCCATGAATATTATGTGGTATGGACTCATAAACAATGAAAGTAGAATTCCTCTAACATTAATTTTAATACTTAAGGGACTCCGATAAAGTCCTTAAGTAAATCAGTATTTTTTTTCCACGTCTTGTCGATTGTCAATGTTGTTGAATAGTGATTTCTTAAAACTATAACCATTTCACAATACAATCAGCTTACAATGTAAGCTACAATAATATGAAATACATAGGCTCTTCAATCTTATTTGTTAATAAATAGACACATATAGTCAGGGGTGCCCACAAGGGGGGGCTGTGACGCAGACTGCGTCATTGAAATTCTTGGGGGGGGTTCAAAAAATTAAAATGGGGGGGCTATAGTTAATTTCAACAGTGTTCAACGTGACGAAAATAAAAAATACACTACGAAGTCGCCAGATAGAAAGTCGATTAATTAATGACAATAGTTATATTATTTCATTCAATTAGTAAAAATAGGATTTACTGATAGTTTAGGATTCGTGTAGGAAGTTATTATTCAAGATTAGTAAGACGTGAGATCTATGAGGGAAGGCACGGAATGGCTCAACTGCTGTGTAGTGGTGGGAATCACCGAATGAAAATAACCGAATCAATCGGTTATTGATGCTGAATAGACTAATTCGGTTATTTTATCCTGGTTCGGTTAAATTAGTCTTACCGTGCGATTCGGTGATTTAGTTATTTAGTTGATTTAGTTTGTCACATTATCAGGTAACTAAAATTTATTCGGCGATTCGTTCGACTAAAAATCACTGATTGACGCTGAAAGACTAAATGCCATTCAGTATCCCATAGGATAAAAATTAGTTGTGGTTTGTGACAGTTAATAATGACTAAAATTGATTCGGTGATTCATTCAACTAAAAATAACCGATTGACGCAAAAAATAACTGATTGATTATTCGGTCATGGAAACCATTCGGTTATCCCATCACTACTGCTGTGATAGATAAAAGATTGGCACACCCACGTCCAGCTACACCGCGACTTAGCCCAGAACGCTTTGTTGACATAAAGCTAGTTAAAATACAATCAAGTAGCATAGGCTACAATACTTTACACTATTGTTTAGATACAGTACTCGATTACCTGAGTTAATAGGGAGGGGGGTAGTGAGTAATGAAAAATACGGTTAATCCAATATAATATAAAAATAGATGACAAACCCATTAAAACGCGGTAAGCAGCCATTAACGTCACGATTTGCATTTTTATAAACGAAATTCAATATTGCACAATGATTATTATTGTAACTTACATTTCAAATCATTTATCTTGGTTCGGTTGTACAAACGGCATCGCTTAAAATTATAGCTAACTCAAACGTTTTCTGTGCTCAAACACAACTAATAACTAGCCAAACACTGCATTGCTATAAATAACGTAAATATTAAAGGAACCTTTAGAAAGTGTTATAAAAGCTACTGCTCATGATAGACAGATAGCCTACCGGTAGGTGCTGTATCACAGCATAGGAGTTGATAGATAAGTAATAAAAAGGTGTAAAATTATATTTAGAGATAATAAAAACACTCTTAAAAAAGAATGTAACGAGAACAATCTTGTTATTCTTTTTCTTTGTTCTTCTGTTCTTTATAAGTTTTTTTCTTCAATTCATACACAAATTCAACAAGTCTCCATATTTAGGCCTACTCATTGCCCAATCACAGCCTAACCAGTGCCGGATTTAGGGTACTTGCGGCCCTAGGCCAAATTACTTGAGCGGCCCTCCCCCTGTGGTGAAAATTCCTTGCGATCGCGGAAGTAATAGTGACTATCTCCTATACATCAAGGGGACATCATCATCGACACCCGTGATCCTGGATGAAATCGTGGACATCTCTCCTAAACCAAGTCAAAGCCATCATAGTTATCCGGGACCGCAGTAAAATCGTGAACATCTCCCGCGGGCCGCAATCACGGGGACATCATCATCGACACTTGCGATCGCGGCAAATTCGTGTTAAAAACATCTCCCGTGGACTGCGATCATGAGGACTTCATCATTGTCACCCACGGCCGTGCCGAAATCGTAAACATCCTCCTCGGTAAGCCACCACGGGGACATCCAAATTGACACCCCCAGCCGCGGCGAAATCGTTAACATGACGCCATTGTATTATTCTTAATGAAATTGCAAAATAAAGAATGAAAAAAAACATCTCCCGTGGGCCGCAATCACGGGGATGCATCATCAACACTCACAGCCACGGTGAAATCATGAACATCTGCCGCGGACCGCAATCACGGGGACATTATCATCGACACTTGTGACCGCGGCGAAATCGTGAACATCTCCCGCACACGGGCCGCAATCACGGGGACATCATCATTGACAACTCGATAAAGCATCTAATTCGTGAACGTCTCCTGCGGGCTGTGATCATAAAGAGACATCCCCGTCACCCACGGCCGCGGCTAAATCGTGAACGTCTCCCGCGGGCCGCAATCACGGGACATCATCACAGGCACCCGAGGCCGCGGCAAAATCGTGAACATCTCCCTCGGTCCGTGGAGACATCATTATGGTCACCTGTGATCGCGGCAAACTGGTGGTTTAAAATAAATATTATTTGTTATTAATTTTATCTAAAAAATGTTTTTCCCAATCCTCTGCGGCCCCCTCTTGCTTGCGGCCCTAGGCCGCGGCCTAATCGGCCTAGTGGTAAATCCGGCACTGAGCCTAACTAAAGTTACCATGGTTACTAATCACAGTTTACTAAGCATTATATCGTCATCATTCCCCAGCTGTTGTATCTGAAATCTGTTGTAACATACGCACAGCAGACAGAAGTGTATAACGGAGCAGACGATTGTTGGCGCAAGCGTTGTTTCCATTTAATTTTCATCGAAGGAGCTGTGATGTTTCCAAAGAAAGGGAGAGGGTTTCGTTATATCAAGAAAAAGACGCTGACAAATCGTTAAGCAGAGGTTACGAACGCTATATAGCTATTCTGGCAATAAAAAATTCCTTAAATTGAGCTGATTTATAATACTCTAATTATATTTATATAGAAAGATAAGTTTTCCAGTCTGTACAACACTGATTCACGTACGGTCTTTTCCCGGTACCTAATCAAAATTCAAGTACAACTTGATATACACAGAATCTCCGGTTCCCGACCTGGATGATGGCTAGTTATTTATTTTTTTAATTTACAGTTACATATTAGTACCCGTGATAAATCAAACCCGTTATTTAAACTAAAGCCACACGGTTAATTATCTCACTTGGTTTTGGATTTGCTTACAAACGTGATCGGAAATGGTTACAAACGTGATCGGAAATGGTTAGGGCCTAAACAGTATTATTCGTAAATTCGTAAACAACGTTTATTTTTGTAAACATATCAGTGACAGCTAGAAAAATGAATCGTTATCAAAATAGCTGTTCGTAATTTCATATATGACGTGTTCTCTTAACAGATTATTAATATTTCATAAATGACGTGTGTTAACGTATGTTTACTAACATGGAGAAAAAAACTAGAAAAATGACACAAAATTGGGTTTTTAATCGTCCGTTATTTTATTTCCAAAATAGTGAGGCCATGTTTTAATGGCTAAGGATGACACTCCTGTGAATACAATTAAACCATTAGAATCATAATCGGTACTCTAGTTTTCTTTAGAGTAGGCTGCGTAAAACGCATTCTGGGCCGTGACAGACGGACATAAATTGATATAAGACATGTTTCAACTTCTTAAATGTATAAAACGTAAAAATAAACCAAAACATGTATAATTCTGAGCAATGTATAGACAAAACTATTTATATAAATTAACTAGGTTTGAATTTTTAATATAAAAAAAATGTATAAAACTTATTTTAGTTTTACAAATAGTGCTTGGCGGGGAATAATGTTTCTCATTTGTTGTGTACCTCATTTATTGGGGGGGGGGGGGGGCTGTTGCTCAATTGGGGGGGGGGTGCGTCATGAGTCTAGGGGGGGATGGGCACCCCTGCATATAGTTGTTTCACCACTTTGGCTGTACAGTCTTGATTACTGGACTTATACCGGTCGCAGAAAGGGTGGATATAACAGAAAATTTGGAGGAGATACTTACAACCAACGACCAATAAAATACCCCTGCCTCATTAAACCTGCCAGAATTTGACTTTATGCACGTAAACCAAAATTTGATCAATCTAAAGAAGCATATACAAACAAACTACAACAGTTTATTTTTTCCCCCTAAAAGTAAAGTAGAATCTTTCAACATTAATAATTCTATAGAAGAACACCAAATTACCTCAGATTGGAAGTCCCGTTGGGAAAAAATCATACATCTCAATAGATTGCAATACGACCTACCATGTGGCTCTATAGGTGACAGATTTGTGAAAATGTTAGCTGAAGAAATTTTACTTTTAGCAAATGGTCAAGAATGTTTCGAGTGATTCATATGTTTCATTGCTGTTATATTACAAAAAGAAAAGATGGTAAGACAGGCGAAAGATATTAGAAAATTAATTGAAAGAAGACTTGATAAGTGGACTAATAGATGCTATGATGAATTAATAGATGAAGCAATTTGATTCAAAGAATAAAGCCGAAAATAATGATAATGAAGAGTTCATTAAAACTAAATTCAATAGATAGGTTCAAAGAGGAATACCCCCGCCGCAGCAAACCTGCAGACTAAGCGATTTTCTACTTCAGACATTTTTACTAAAATATTTCCATAAATAATACATATTTATTAACAATTTAAATAACATTAGATTTAACGAGTGCTTAGGTTTGCTGCTACGGGTAAGGTTAAAACGTGTTTTTTGACGATATGTCAATAGTATAGGATGAAATAAATAAATTTTCCAAATTTTATCAACATATATCTATAAACAAGTAAACTACATCAGTTTTCATTTTCTCCATAAGAATAACATGGGAATTTAAAATTACACT